TGGTTTTTAATATTTAAAATATCATTATCACAACATTTTGCAAACATATTTTATACTACTTTTCAGGTAAGAACAAACTTTTACTTTGCTGCTTTATTTTGTATATATGGGGGAGGCTTCTCTTCAGAGTTACATAGTGGACTGAGGCGTGTTATGGGGTTTGTATGGCCTATTACAGGTTTTATTTCGATGATTCGAGCTGTTTAATGTGTAGAATTCATAAAGTATTTCATGTCTACAAAAAATGACATTGTGTACTTCATGTTAACAAAAATATGTTTCAATCAAGGGGCCACTGATATCCGATCAACGTGACTTTTTGCAAGTATGAAGTACTCAACGAGCTCTACACATCGAATGGTTTGGATTATTGGAACGGGACCTATTGGGAATCTCACGGACCCAACATGCTCCAATCCACTATATGAACTGGAGAGAAGCCTCTCTCTTTGTGTGGGTATATATATATATATTTATTAGGAGTGAGCAGCAGATACACCGATCTGCCAAAACCGACCGAACCGAGCCGATCCGCCGCATTTTGGACGGATACATGATGATGAGCGGGCAGTTACGGATTGATTTTCTCCAATCCGCCAATTTGGCGGACGGATGGCGGATTTAAGATTCCTTTGGCTGCAACCGAACCACCAAACCGCGAGCGCCCCTAGTAATTTATATGACTTTGCATTTTCAATTTGTTTAAATATTTTGTTTGTGTTTTTAATTGAAAAAGAGTTTAAATATTCTGTTGAAAAAAAAATTTCAACTTGAATATATTTTTTGAATTGAAAAAAATAAACGTATTATTTATCTATATTTTTTAGTTTTTAAATCTAACTCTAAAAATAATAAATAGAATATATGATTTATGCTGGTTAGTTTTTGTTTTCAAAAATATATATAGATGTAACAATACAGAGACATACAATCTCTACTATTGCTCTGTTCATGATTTTAGTGGTTTGAATTATTTTTATATTTTAATAACCACAGATTGTAATACTTTATGTAGATGAATCATGCTGTGATTGTAATATGTGGATGAGACATGCAATGATTGTGATATACTAAAGTTTCAATCTTTTTTTCTTTGGATAATGTATACAGTGATTGTAGTACTTTTTTAAGTCATTGACTGTAATACTTTCTTTTTTTTTTTTTTAAGGAAGTTGTTGGCTAAAATGTTGGCTTATTTTTCCTACGAAGGAAAATATCATAAATGCGAGCGTGCCAGCAAGGATTGAAAAATCCTTACAGATTAAATTCAAGCCAATTATCAAGCGATTGTGTTGACGGTTCTTTTGCCTCAACGAAGAGGACTTCAAGATTGCCAAGTGTAAAGAAAAGAAAAATTAAAAGAAGAATGGGGAACGGAGAAAGATGATTGAGTGAACAATCAAAGTAATAATTACTTACCTCTACTCCTATGCTTCGAAAAGAAAGTGCATAAAATGCTTCGAAATGGAAATGCTGAAAATAAATGCTTCGAAATACAAATCTATGTTAAACTACTCCTAAGATAAGGAAAATGACAAGAAATATTGAAATCAAGTGTCTTTGATTTATGATTCTGGCTCTCTTACAATGTAGCCATTAATGGCTATTTATAGAAGAAAAAATACAGCAATAACTACTTAGTAACTACCCATTTCTTCCATCTTCATTCTTGTCTTGCCATGTGTCATTCCACTCATCCACTTTGTCCTCCCACTCATCCACTTTGTCCTTCATATTCTCCACTATCTCTATAACTTCTTTTAACTTCCAAATGAATAAGAGGATGCCACGTGTCCTGCAATTATATAAATAATAGATAATAATAAAAATTGCAGATTTATGGTGTTAACAGAAGTGCACAAGTTTAATTATGTTGAAAATTTATAAAATTTTAAACCGCCAAACCGATTCGCATCCACCTGCCAAACCGCCAATCCACCCAATCCACATCCGCTGGATTGGCAGACGGATGCAGATTGATTTTTTTCAATCCGCCAATCTGGCGAACGGACGGCGAATTGAAAGTTCCGTGGCCGCAACCGATCCGCGCCCACCCCTAATGTTTACAGACATTTTAGTTGCCCCATGCTAATGGTGAAAACTATGCTACCAACGAATTCTTTATGATTGGATCATGGTTATCAATAATGATCCACTCATACAAGTAAACTCTAGATACTAGTAGTCACGTAAATTAAAACCTGATGCAATACCAAATTCAAAAATGTTTAAGGCCCACAAAATACTCTTATAAATTAGGGGTGTTCAGTAGATATTTTAATTCGTTCAAAAATTCGTTCAAATTGACAGAATTGAACTGATCCGTGACATTTTGGACGGATGTGTGATAACGAACAAACAGTTGCAGATTGACTTTTTTCAATCCGCCTAATTTTGGACGGATGATGAATTTGAGATTCTTTTTTGCCGCAACCGAACCGCCAAACCGCAAGCACCCCTAATAATTTATAAGATTTTGTGTTCTCAATTTGTTTAGATATGCTATTTGTATTTTTAATTGAAAAAGAATTTAGATATTCTATTGTGTTTTCAATTTGGAAATCCTTTTGTCCAATGGCAATTTTTTAATATTTAATATTTTTGTGTGGAAAATATAAAGCTTTATTTTGTCATTTTTTTAAAAAAAAAATCAATTTAACTAGTTTTTGAATAAAAAAAACAGTAATGAACTATGATAATGCATGGTTTTCTTATATGTATTTATTATTGACATTTGACAATTTACTTAATAATCTTTTGATTATATTGAGTTTGATTGTTATCTAAAAAAATGTCGATAAGTTGCTGTATTATGTTCAAATTTTATAAAATTTTAAACCACCAAACCGATTCGCATCCATCTGTCAATCCGTATTCACCAATCCGGCGGACGGATAACGGATTGGAAGTTCTTCCGTTACAACTGAACTGCGAATAAATGTATCCATAATGATATTATACCATATGTGTCGATGGTGATTTTTGTTGTTCCCACGAAACAAAGATCATTTGCTTGGCGAATGAAGAGGGTCAACCTCTTTTTGGCTTCGACCAAACACTTTCTCTCGCTGGTCGAGCTTTTTACCAAAAAAGCAATGCGGGAATGTACTCTCTTATCTAAGTTTTTTTCTTGTGCATTAACTCTCCCTATCATAGAAACTTTTGATTTGTTACACATTCAATGATAAGGTCACACTCTTTTACCATATCATTATAAGTAAATTTGTGAGTTTAAAAATATGAATATCTAACATTATTCCAATTACTATTTTTTTTTAAAATTACACAAGGTTAATACAATTAAATTATTTTAGCATTACAACTCTATTGTACTAACTCAAATATAAAATCTCACCTCAATAACACCAAGATACTTTTTTTCATGACCACGTCGGCTAACTCAGTGGCTAAATCTCAAATATAAAAGAGACGTGACATCTTAACATTACAAATCTTGATGTCAGCAGTTACAAATCTTGATGTCAGCAGGTGAACAAACTATAACCTTTTATTTTAGAATTTTTATTAGTGCTTTTTCAATATATGACCACCAAAAATTTGTGTTATATATTCAATGGAATTTGGTTGAGTATTTTCAATTCATAGCCCAATTGTTTCTAGGGGTTTTTCGGACCTTGATCATAAAATTTTAATGGGAATAAGAGATTCGCAAAGGGGGTCCATAATTTTACTCCTAATTCAATCTTTATCAAGAAATAAAGAAGACAAGAAATCTCGATGGTTGCCTCGTGTCCTAGATTTCGCATACTTAAATGTATTTTCAATCATACTATGCATATGAAATACAAATCTATCATGTTACCTGTGATGTAATTTGGCGTTGTTTGCCACTTACAAAAGTAATAAGAAAATGGCTCCAACGGATTATAAGAACGCATCCGTGTATTAAGGTATGACATTTATGAGATTAATTATCATAAATGTCATTAAAAAAAATTAATGTCATTACTAAAGAGATGAATCATAACTAAATACTATACTAAAAACAAATTAGTCATAATCAAATACCGAAAATGTTTTGAATCATAACTAATATGAGTCATTATATGGAAATTATTCAATAATTTTGAAACATTACGTGGTCATACTTCAAAGCAATCATCAATTACTTAGCTCCATATTGTTCCCCATCCTCAACATAAATCGCGGACCCCTACCCCGCTCTACCAATCAAAACCTTATGGAGTACCATGTGTCCATATTCCGAGAATACTGAATAATCACCCGTCATTACAAACACCAAGGCATTATCATAAAAGGATATTTATTCATAAATCTCTCTTCACCTATTTATATTTCATTTAGTCCAAATTATTATGGGCGATATAATTACCAAAATACTCTTAATAATAATATAATAATTTTTTATATTGATAGTGTAAATGTTCCGTGATATAACTATTCGCATTGTTAATGTAAATGTTCACATAGTAAAATTTGAATGTTTATATCACCAAGTTGTTAAGCGTTTAAAAAATATTTATAAGGGTAAAATTATTTATAAAATATCTTAAATATGAGAATTAAGATTTAATGAACAAAATATCTAAATAATAGCACTTACCAAAATATAAAAATATAGGGTAAATTACAAACACATTCCCTGAGATACCCCTAAAGTTTCTAATTTCATAACAAATAGGTCATTTTATTAATAAATCATTAAATTAATTAACGGTTTTTAATAATGTTAAAATTTTATTTCAATTAATATTTCAGATAATTTTATTATTATATAGGTGAACAGTTAGAAATTTCACTTTTTCAATTAATTCTGTTAAATGAAAAATTCTAACAGGAGGGTATTTGTAATTTTTTAAACCATAAGGAGCAATTTATATTTAAATAAACCTCAAGAGATGTACTTGTAATTTACCCAAAAATATTATGAACTAATTAAATACAAGCAATTAAAAAATAATTTCCTAATAAATCTCCTTATCATGAACACCATTCAATTTCCATTATAAATAAGGCCTCGTTTGCCTGTAAATTTCGTTCGTATTCTATTCGGATCTCATGACTCACCACCTTCTTCACACACTATCTAAAACTCTGCATAAATGAGTACGTTTTGCAATCAGGTAAGGCGGTTACAAAGTCGACATTACGAGCCTTGATTCTCGTGATTCCTGGATTCAGTCGCTCGTGAGCTCTTTTTTCAGCGATAAGCATATCTACGGTCAGTGTTTTTTTTCCTTTTAATTTTAATTTCAGTTTCTGTTTCATATATATAGATCACAAGAACTTTCTCGTTGCCAATATTATTGGTTAAGATTCACATCCTGAAAACTTAATTGATTAATTAATAGCACAGTTCTTGTGAATACGTAACAGATCTTGAATATCGTCCAATCATCATTGTTTTTGTACAGAGACTTCGAATCACATGCTGCGCAAAACATCAAGAGAGAGAGTCATATATATATACATGTTCATCGTTGAGAGAAGGATTTAGATTTAAGTGATTATTGAAGATTTGTAGTTGTTGTGGTGGTGATGAAGATGCCTGGAGGAAGTGGAAGAAGAGGAGAGGAAAGAAACAAAAAAGGAGAAGAGGAAGAGGAGTATGAAGTGCATGATCTGAAAGATCGAATCGAGTCGTCGCAAGGAAGCCGTATGAATCTTCTGAAGAAAGAGCTTGGATTGGAGCATGAGGGTCGGAAGATATTCAGCAGAGAAAGTGTTGTCAATGGCATCAAAGACCTCTCCAAAGGCATCCACATCCATCCTGATAACAGGTCCAACTTCCTCGTCTCTTTCTCATCTCTCTCGTTAAAACTTATCCACTGTTTATACAGCATCATGTGATCATATTAAAAACTAAGTGGTTATTTACTATTTTCAAAGTATAGATACTTCATAAAATTTTGATTAATAAAAAGGGTAAGAATAATATAAGTAATTGGTAATTGAATTGAGGTACGATATAGGCCACTTTTGAGAAGGAAATAAAATATATATATATATATATATATATCTATTTATTTATTGACATCATATTATTTTCTTATTTTTTTACATTTTTTTTTATAATAATAAGTTAATAAATTCAAAAAAAAATCATGGTATTGTAATTTAGTTAGGTCATTATTTAAGCAATAATGCATATACAATAGGTTCTATTTATTTTTTTTTTTGTTTTGACTAATCATATTCTATTTGAGACATTATCTAATCATATATTTGGAGCCAATAATCCAAATTTTGTAGATTGATTTTGTGTATGGTTGAATTTTTTTTGTAAAATAATTATAATATTATTGTATTCCCAACTAAGGGGTTGTTTGGGGGTGTTTTAAATAAGTGTAATTTTTAACTTTTTTGTGAGAAAAGTAGACAGAAAAAAGATGTGTGTTTAAAATAACTTTTTGTCTTTTTATGAAAAAATATATATTAAAATATTGTATAAAATAACAAAATTACATTATTACCCCTATGTCCTAGACTCAGTGACAGTGCTGATTGAAAGACAGGACGGATTGCCCTGCAAATAGTGATAACTTCACGGGTACTGTTGGGCCATGGGGCGCACCACGGGTCCCGTTTTGATAATTCAAATCGATCAATATGTAGAACTCGTCGAGTACTATATACTTGTAAAAAATCACGTTGATCGGATATCGATAGCTATGTGATCAAAACAGTTTTGTATAAAAAAAATGGATGGTAAAAAATAAATGGCTAAAAAAAATTTGATATGATCACATAGTTATCCATATCCAATCAACGAGTTCTACACATTGAATGGTTCGAATTATTGAAATAAAACCTATGGTAGCCTCCACGGGTGCAACAGTACCCTTCAATTTAATGAATATATATATCTAATTTGTAATTTGTGATTTGTACCACCATAGTGTATGTATGTAATTTTCCCCATCACTTACCATCACCTGTGTAAATGGATTGTACTTTTTTGTGTAAATTAATTTTTTTTATATTTTTAATTTGTAAATAGTCATAACTTTTTTACTTTTTAATAAATTTTATACTTTTTACTTTTTTTATAACATGTCAAACCAACCCTTAATATTATTGTACTTCAATTTTTATAAAACTAAATTTTAATTATTTAAAAAATCACTTTAGAAAAATCAGTAAATATCCGGATTGGCAAATAGCTACTCCACTCAAAAAATCATTTTTTGTTAGAAGACCGACGTGTCATGTAGGCACTGGTAAGGTCCTGTGATTGGGGGATTGGGACTTAGGGAATAGAACGGGTGAGGATGCACCACTTGCTTGTTTTTGTTTTGTTGAACAAATTTTCTAAATAACAATGATTTAGACCACTAAAAAATATATCATTAATAGCATTAATGTATTAGAGCGATGGTAGGCATATAGTACTCGACGATTTCTACACATTGATGGTTCGAATTATTGAAATGAAACCTATGGTCGCCCCCACGGGTGCAACAGTACCCTTCAATATAATGAATATATATATATATATATATATCTAATTTGTAATTTGTGATTTGTACCATCATAGTGTATGTATGTAATTTTCCCCATCACTTACCATCACCTGTGTAAATGGATTGTACTTTTTTGTGTAAATTAATTTTTTTTATATTTTTAATTTGTAAATAGTCATAACTTTTTTACTTTTTAATAAATTTTATACTTTTTACTTTTTTTATAACATGTCAAACCAACCCTTAATATTATTGTACTTCAATTTTTATAAAACTAAATTTTAATTATTTAAAAAATCACTTTAGAAAAATCAGTAAATATCCGGATTGGCAAATAGCTACTCCACTCAAAAAATCATTTTTTGTTAGAAGACCGACGTGTCATGTAGGCACTGGTAAGGTCCTGTGATTGGGGGATTGGGACTTAGGGAATAGAACGGGTGAGGATGCACCACTTGCTTGTTTTTGTTTTGTTGAACAAATTTTCTAAATAACAATGATTTAGACCACTAAAAAATATATCATTAATAGCATTAATGTATTAGAGCGATGGTAGAGGGCCACAAAAACAGTGGCTCAAATGGCTCAAAACTGTCAAAACGACGTCATTTTGATAATTTTGAGTCATTTGAGCCACTATTTTTGTGGCCCTCAAACATTTTTCAATGCATTAAGAATGATAAAAAAAAAAACAAGACATAAAAAGTAGACTGAACCCACTGCCATATCATTAATACTCCCCCTAATGCTCTCTTTTTAGTGCTCCCAAACATTTTTCCCTTCTAAAACTCGTAGTTGTCCCTAGCGGCTGATTGTATCGGACTAGATTCGAATATGAAAGGACGCAGCTGTTAGTGGGACCTACATGATACATGCCCTCCTGCTGCTGCTGAGTAAAGCTGTGATGAGGTCGGTACGATATTATTCCAGGAAAATTATTCTTTGCTCCAGGGCAAGATGATGTGGTAATCTTTATTTTAAGAAGATCTCCGAGGGGTGTATTTACAATTTGAAAAAAAGTTGAAACTCTTTTTTTTTTTTATTCTTACCACTTCTAATATATTGGAATTGGTTAATTTTTTATTCTTTTTTTTTTCTCCTATCACTCACTAATATGTGTCAGTAAAAGTTATAGGGGTCAAGAAAAAAGGAAGTCTCTATCATTTCTGTTTACAATTTGGATTTGAGATACCTGTTGTACCCAGCACTGGGCTATCTTATGGGATTATTTTAGGATCTATTTTGATAATTTAAATATTCGCATTTTAGAGTATATCGAGTAAAATATATCTGTAAAAAAATCAAATTAATTAACCTTTTCATCCACTTACATTTGTATCTACAAAAATAAATGACATTGTGATTTGAAGTATTAAAATAGGTACAAATGTGAGTGGATAAAAAGGTTAATGGTATCCGATTAACTTATTTTTTTACAGGTATATTCTATTTAATATATTTTAAAATGTGAACAGTTCGAATCATCAAAATGGATTCCGAAATGAGCCTATAGGATAGTACAACAGTGCCTGCTGTGCTGGGGCACAACAGGCACCCCATATCCTTATAATTTACCCTATTATTTATGTAAAAAAATTAAATTAATCAAATATCCATAATTTTATGGTCGTGTTCTAATTGTTTTTAAAAATATTAAAATCATGTAGCTGTTTATTTTTTTACAAGAAATATGATATGGTTACAAGGTTAAAAATGCATAATTAATTTGATTTTTTTCCTATAAATAATTTATTTAACAATCTTACCATTCAAATTATCAAAATAAATTTGGAATAAAGTACCTCACTGGAGTTACACAGCCATAACCCCATGTCCTCAACGCCATAACCATCGAGCTCCAGCAGTCGCTTTGGAATGCAAATAAATTATCAAAATAAATTTGGAATAAAGTACCTCACTGCAGTTACACAGCCATAACCCCATGTCCTCAATGCCATAACCGTCGAGCTCCAGCAGTCGCTTTGGGATGCAAATATTATCATTGTATTTGTCTTATCAAGTGTTTTGTGTTTTTTATTTATTTATTTTAACTTCTATTTTTTTAAGAGGTAAATGCATCCATTATATTTATTTAGAGAACTGAATTAGATGAGATTAGGAGTAGATAATTATTAGATCAGATTTAAGTTAGACTTACACTATATAGTAAAGGCATGTATCATTTCAAATTCGGTGTAATCGGACATCAAATCAATCTCATACGGTACCTTAAAAGAACTTCTAAATATTTCGTCCAACCACTAAAGAGTTTTTTTTCTTTTCTTGAAGGACTATTAAATTGTTTGGACTCTTTTAATAATTATTTGAATTTGAAATATTAACAAAATTCAATTGTATAATTAATATAATCGTTTAACAAATATTTTAATTTAAGCTCTAGAAATAATTATATATATATTTTATTTTTTATTATTTTTATAGTTTATTTTGTGAACTAAACAACATAAAAGTAAAATTAATATTCTATAAACTAAGCCAAATTGGGCTAAAACTCCTTATTCAAAAATTTAACTTGAAAATTGAACAAATTCAAAATTTTAATTCAGTCTAACTATGGGTTATCTAAGCCTTATAAATGTCACGCTGGGCTGCGTGAGCTGGACAGACCATCAGACCCATGGCCACCCCACTCTTAGATAAGATTGTATTTATAGGACTTTATTTTTAGATTATTATTTGAATTGATCTAAGATTGTGAGTTTGTGTAATCAATTAATCTAATCTTTCCTTAGGACGTCTCCAATTTTTTTAATTTTATTTTCAATAGGAAAATATTTATATATAGATATGAGAAATATTGGATCAAACAAACCACTAGCCCGACAACAATTAGAAAATAAATAATCACCAAGTGCAAATCCAACAATGACGACTAATTACATGTAACCATCACTCGAATATCTCCAATTATTACTTGAATATTCAAACTTAAATTTGAATAAAAAAATATCCCAAAGCTTTCTCCACAGTTTCACTTAAAGCCTTGTTTAGGAAGGAGAGAAAATAATCAAAAAGCCATTATAATTTTTAATCATCAAATAGGATTTTTATCCAAACAATGGGAGACAAAAATGTCCAAAGGTTTTTATTTCCTTCATCTGAAACTTCATTTCTTTACAAAATTGCTATTCTTGAGATATGATGGGAATTTTTAAAAATAATTTGAGTAAAAATTTAGTGTTTATAATTAGAGTGTTTTATATCAAATACTTTTTTTCTTAAATTTTTACCTGGATTTGAGTACAAATTTAATTCATGATTAGAGATGGTCTTTATTCTTCATTTTGAATCATTCCTGTTGAGGTTTGATAGTCTCTATTATGGAGGATATCATAAGTAGATGAATTATTAGTTAAGATATCAATTTTCTTATCCAAATATAAGATTATGTATTTTATTAATTAGGGTTAAATTTATTTTTATTTTTTTAGAAAGGCAATTAGGGCTAAATTAATTTTACTCCCTTGTAGTTTAGAGCTGGAGGACTCTACTATTATGGTTCAAATATAATCAGAAGTATAATCAGAAAGTACTCCTCAGGTTTTGGACTAAAATGTTAACAGAAGGTGTATCACACACACATTTTTTAGAGTTTGTTTGGTTTTATGAAAAAATAAATATAAATTAATACAACAAAAAGATAATTTTACTCCCATTTTCTCCAAACCTAAATTTTGACTAATATGTTAATTAAAATAAATAAATTATGATCTAAAATATAAAATATAATTAAGAATTTATTTAAAATATAATTAAATAGAAATACATAATAAATAGTTATTAAGAATTGATTTAAAATATAATTAAATTAAAATTAGATTAAAAAGGGACGCTCACCCCGTAAATTCAAATTTGGATTTCTTCTGCCCAAAAGCCCACATACTAAACTATTAAGCCTATAAGGACATACTTATGTGAAATAACCAAAATACCCATTCCGAATTTACTAAAAGCCCTCATACATAAACAACTTATAAACAAATTCTCTCTCTCTCTCTCTCTCTCTCTCTCTCTCATTTTCAACTCCGGATGCATGAACTAGGGTTTCTACTTCCATCTACGAAAAATAAACACATTTCAATTGAAACACATCTAAAACATCAAAGAGGTATGAAATCTTACTATTTGCTTATTACACATTCAAACAAAAAAATGTGTGGAAAAAAAACTTATATATCAAAAGTATCATCGGCACCGTCTTTGGAAGAGTAGTCGTTACTCTCACCACTTGAATCCGCTAATTTCTCATCAGTAAGCTAGTCAATGTTGCTCTTCATAAAATTGACTTGGCTCTCCAAACTCAATAAACATCTTTCCAATTCATTCAGCCTTTCAAAAATAACATCTAACTTTTGCAGCACATGAGCCATATGACTTTCAATAATAAAGTCAATCTTCTGCGAATCGGACATTATGAAACTATTGTACTTGTTTGTTTAATTTTCTTCTTCTTTTTTATGTGTAATTCTACTTATATACTTTCGAATTTGAACAAAAACCGCTATTTATAATAACAGATAGACATTGAATTTGAAAAGTTGCCATTAATAAAACACTTTGACTACCTCATGCATTGTAACTAACAATAGACACACCTATCTGTCTAAAAACATTGTTCCATTCACTCAATAAGTTATTGTATCTGTGCAACATAAATGAACCATTATTTAACAAATTCAATAATGAAAAATGGAACAACATTTTCAATAGATAGCTTAAGGGATTATCATAGACAACAAATTCAACAGATAAGTATCATATATGTCAAAGAAGTAACAAACCTCATTTGCACAGATTATTTCTTTGTCTATCTGTGCAATATAAATGTACCATTATTCAACAAGAAACATATTGAATCAAATGAACAAATGTCATCCACAACTACAAAACGTACTTCTCACCACAACATTTCACAAAATGTGTATTTCTTACCCCCAAAAAATTAGGGCCTAACGCCTCATGCAACCCTCAAATTGGATTTTTCATCAATTTTCTCTAAAAAGTTAATAATTACAATAAATAATTAAATATTTACAATTAAAGAGAATTTATACAAACCATACTTCTCACCACAATATTTCACAAAATGTGTATTTCTCACCAAAATAAAATTACCCATCGGGCCTAACACCTCACGCAACCCTCAAATTGGATTTATCGTCAATTTTCTCTAAAAAGTTAAAAATTACAATAAATAATTAACTATTTAAAAATAAAGAGAAAATTAATGCAAAACATACTTCTCACCGCAATATTTCACAAAATGTGTATTTCTCACCAAAAACAATTACCCATCGAGCCTAACGCTTCACGCAACCCTTAAATTGGATTTGTCTTCAATTTTCTCTAAAAAGTTAAGAATTATAATAAATAATTAAATATTTAAGATTAAAGACAAAATTGATGATAAATTCAATGTTTCTTTATCTGTTAATAATGGTACATTTATATTGCACAGATAGAAATTGTTTGTGCAAATGAGGTTTGTTAGTTATTTGATATATATATATATATGATACTTATCTGTTGAAATTTTTTGTCTGTGATAATTTCTTAAGCTATCTGTTGAAAATGTTGTTCCATTTTTTATTATTGAATATGTTCAATAATGGTTCATTTATATTGCACAAATACAAAAACTTATTGAATGAATGGAACAATGTTTTTAGACTGATAGGCGCATCTATTCTTAGTTACAATGTATGAGGTCATCAAAACATTTTATTAATGACAACTTCTCAAATTCAATGTCTATCTGTAGTGGTATTTGTTTGAATTCGAAAGTATACAAGTAGAATTTCACAAAAAAGAAGAAAAAAAATTAACAAACAAGTATAATAGTTTCAAAATGTCTGATTCATAGAAGATTGATTTTATTGTTGAAAGTC